AACTTTCAGAATTTTGATGGTCAACTGGCCATCTTGGATTATTAAACAGATAGTGACAATTTTTAGTCCTTTCTGGGGTCTAGGCATTCTGCATTTTTGTAGTAGCATTATTGATATATGGGATTACCTATATCATGAATGGACCCCCCCCCCATGTTTTTCCCTGAAAACGACAAAAAACACTTAAAAACCTTCATTACAACCAATGAACACATTGATCTGAAATTTGTTTTTTAACATCCATGTATAATCAGTGTTCTCCACAAGGGGTTTTAGGCGGGCGGCCCGCCCATCAAGTTTTACGGCCACCTAGTAACTCTCAACACCCGCCCACCAACGTACATCCAGCTGAAATTATTTGTAAAAAGCTTGCATTGTTCTTCCCAAGCCTAATCAAAAGAGTAGTTGCCCAACCCTTTATTATGCTATTGTTTCAAGAGTCCAATCATAAACAATGACCACTGGAAGTCTGCAAGCAGTTATTAAGTATATTCATGGCGATGTGTCAATCACCTGAATTCACTGTCGACCGACATTGTTGCCACTTATTGCTCACAACACGCAACTACAGTGGTTTCAATTTACAGCTGTATTTTTAATAATCGTTTTCCGATCTCAAAAGAAAGAAGTAAATACGAACAAAATGTATATGCACAGAAAATAAACAAATATATTAGCAGATTGCATGTAAACTCAAACAAAAACGTTCGCTCGATTTTCATTGTGAAAACAGCATGGAGAAGGCAAACTGGTGACCTTTTGGCCTACCCCATTCAACGACCATGGGCCACCCACCGCTGTTGGCACTGTAACGATTTAGTATCTAAGTTGCATAGGGAAACAGCGCATTCTGGGTGTTGGCGTACTGAATTCGGAAAGCGGTAATAAACATCAAACATGGCTGCTGGATTAGTTTACCGTGAGTATTTGTAATTGAATAATATTTTAGTTATCTTTTCCACATACTTTTTTCAATTTATCCATTTTTTATGTCTAATCTTTCGAGAACATAGCAGATTCTTTTATTTCGCCGATTGCTAGCATTTTTTCTTGAATTCCAAAACAACGTGGGAAAACGCAACGTATCGTGACTGTACATGCGTAAATCAGTGTTCTCCCCAGGCCTTTCAAGCACTGCGGGCCCGCGCCGCTTAGACAAACAGCCGCATCGCTTTTGTTTCGTCCGTGATCCTTGAAATCCTACCCGCGATGCTTATTCACGTTGTATTGTTTACAAGTGTCAGCCTCGTCTAGCACATCTTTAAAACAATAACATGTATTGATCGAAATGTAATCCCGCCTTTGTACATAGTTAGCCTTAAAAAAACAGTGATAAAAACGGAAGTCTACAAGAAGTTACCAAGTCTATCAAGGGTGCGGAACTGGCAAACCCAAAATACTAGGGTAGTAATAATTTGCCCATTGCGTCGGGATGGTCTATCCTGAGTTGCTGCACTGCGGTTAATTTCGTTTTTACTACTTCATTGCCAGTGACACTAATTATCAAGAATTAAAAAAACTCGCGACATTGAAGCGATGCTGAATACTGACTCTAGAAATAATATAACAAAATGAATAAATTTGTATATGTGGAGTATGCCAGACCAACCTACAGTACAGTTCTCACGGAAGCTTTGGCTTCACTTCAGCTTCACCTTTGCTTCAGCATCGCATCATTATGGCATCGCTTCAATGTCGCGACATTAAAAAGTTAGCCAGTTATCGCTTCGCTTCATTGTGGCCTCATTATGGCGACAATGTGGCATCAGCATCGCTTCATCAAACAAAGAGGGACAGAACTCATTTCGCCCAACCTCTCGCCTGCTTCCGCTTTTCAATCGCTCGCTTTTGCGACCGCTTGTTGAATTTCCGCTTTATTTTCGACTGTGCAAAAATTAGGACTACTAAGAATTTTATGGTTTTCATAGATCACGGTTACTAGTTTAGTAACCGTGCATAAATGTTAAACAACCGTCAAAAGTTCAAATACTTTTTGTTTTAACTATCTATAATTATATGCACGCAATCTGACCCTTTGACCTAGATTTGGCTGGGATTGTCTATTTTATTTTAAACAATATTCTGACGTGACGCACTGCTACAAAATGTATTTCAACAGAAGTACAACATGGTTGTCCGGGTTTCTTTTCCTGACTGCGTTGAGTTTACGATTTGTATAATTATTGTTATTTCCCCCAAGGAGAACACAAGCCGAAGGACCATGAAGCTAAATAGAAGTACCACGCATGGACTGAGTGAAGAAATATTTCTAAGGCTAAAATAAAACCCAATATCTCTTTGTGTATTTGTCAATTTTGCATATATTTGTTGTGACAGTATGTTCGTAAATATCTGGAAAA